AAAATGATTTGTAATATTCTCCCTTAAATCCTATTTAATAGATGAAAATCCACAGACATTCTCTTAAGAAACATCCAGAGAAATGCTTACAGTTCTGCTACATCTCTCGTTGATCAATTCTCTGTTCAAACAGGAGAAGAGAGTTCATCTTGTTACTATATTGACTGAATATAAAGGTGAAAGTTGATTAACTTACAGAAATAGAGTCACGTTTCAGGTACACAGATGAAAGGGCTGGGGTGGAAGGAGGAGAGAGACTTTGAAAGACATTTGACAGGGGAAGGTTGTATTCCCCAGGTAGCCCTGTCAAGCAGCTCTGTCGACAACAAAAAGAAGAAAACAAATAAATTGGAGGTTGTGTGAATGTCGCAAGACCAGAATATAAATCCGTACGACATGGAGAGAAGTAAATATCAGTAATTCACATTCTTACAAAATGTTTTAGGCTGGTATCTCCTAGCTATGCCAGAATGAAAAGGAAAAAAAATAATATGTAGGTAAATCTCCCAGACCCTGGTCCGGCATTCACCTTTTATGCATAATGCCTGCCCTTAAAAAGCACCCCTGCAGGCACAACAGGGCCAACTGACGGAAACAAAGACAGTGTGTGACAAGACTCAAGACTCCTACATTTAGAAATGGATCTAACGCTCAGGGAACATTTCATCCCTGTCTAATTTTCTAACTCACAAGAAAGAGTGAAGCCTTCACTCTGAGCAGATAAAGAATATCTTTAGACAGAAAGTGGAATGTAGGACTTGGGTTTTTTGTTTGTTTGTTTGTTTGTTTTTTGATGCTTAACGAACTGTAGAAACATGCATCTAAAAATTGATTGAAGATGATAGTCATCTTTTTTCCCATTAAAAAGAAAATCATTCCAAACTTCTGTTATCTGTCTGTACATGGACTAAATCTTCCCAGGCTCTTAAAGCCCACATGTCCTTTCCCCAGTGCCACCCCGTTCTTGTTTGGCTTTGTGCTCAGTGACACCACCCGTTCACCCCAGGCCTGGGTGTCTGGTCCAATGAGGGCCTTCTTGAAAACCTTACATAACTGCTTTTTTTTTTTTTTTTTCCTGTTCCATGGGCCTCACCTCACCAAATCTAATGGAAGCTCTGGCCCAGAATCCAGAAATGTTGTTCCAGATAGACCTGGCGGGTCTCACTGCTCATTAACATGAGCTCCTCCTCCCTGCCTGGGAAGTCAGAACACCCTGTCTTCCTGGGGCATCCGTGGCCTGCCAGCTCAGGAAACAAGACCCTTCATCTGGCGTGAGAAATCTGGATTCCTCCCCATGGCCATAAAACCTTCAGTTTTAAGTTTCAATAAATACTACTCTTCTAAAAGGTGCTAAACACCAATAAACTGTTTGATAAAGAAGTATTGTTCTAACATGTGGATCTATAGGTGAGAAAAAGAAGTTTGCCCCTCCTGGAGCCTCCCGAGCCCTAGCAGAAGGCTAAGAAATGAAAGTGTGTTGGATGTATTCAGGCTTTATAGCAAAGACCCTCTACAAGGACCTAAAAGTGAAATCCCCAAATCCAGAAGGACAGTCTCATAATATTTAGACATGTTATGATGTACCACCAAAATTATAAGTATGTTTGAGATGCCTTCTCTTCAAAAGAGTCAAAAGTTTTTCATAACTGGGCAACTTCCTTGGCTCTTTTCTGTTTTCACTAGACTCTCTCTGGATGGTCTAGCATTTCTGATGGTTTCAATGACTTCATGTATGCTGATGACTAACAAGTGCTTCTCTCCAGCTCAGACCTCCTTCCTGAGCTCTAGGGCCATGCGGCTGAGCTTCGAATCCCTGTGGGCAGTATCACTCTCCACTCCCATTCTGCTCTTCCTCTTATGTCTCCCTAAATGTCAGCACCATCCACCTGGCAGCTCAAGTCAGGTTGCTGAGCACCTTCCTGGCCCCTCTGGCCCCTGCAGCCTTCACCTCTGGTGGTTTTCAGAGCCTAAGGATTCTTTTTCCCTCCTGTCACTTCAACACACCCACTCTCTCTCCCCACTGCTAGCTGAGCTCAGGCACTTACCATTTCTCCACAGATGCGCCAGGGCCTCTCAGCTGGTCTTCCTTTCCCAATCCATTCTTCATGGCCAGAAGGACCATACTAAAAGGCCATGGAGATTGTACCATTCCACTGCGCCGAATGCTCCAGATGGAAACAAAAGTCATTTGTGACCTACCTCCTGTCCATCTCTATAAACACATCTTTCACCATTTCTTCTCTTATCTTCTGCACTGGGGCTATGGGAGTCCTCGAATGTTTACTCTGCATCTCTCCATGCTTTTGTACCTACTAGTATTTTCTCTATTCTTCCTCACATTCCTCTCCTAACTAATTTCTGCTTATCCTTCAAAATCCATCTCCCTTCAGGAAGTGTCCCCAAGTTGTCTTTGGGTTGATCACCCCTCCTGGGTATGATGGCAGACGAGGTCTTAGTACTTACATGGTATTCTAACTTCATTGTCCTCTCTTTCCCCACTGCACTGGGAGAGAGCTCTTGGTAGGCTGAGGCTTTGTCTTTTCACCTCTTGATTCCCAGAGCCATGCACAGGGTCTGGCTAGTGTATGTTCTCAAAACAGTTCTGTCAGTTGACTAAGAGAAATGCCCTAGAATGAGGTCATATGTTCCTGTGCACCTTCTTTCTGGAAATTGGCCTAAATTAAGGCTACAAAGAAGTAGATATTACTAAAGTGGGAAAATTTGTTCAAGCAAGGCACAGAGTCAGATTTTAAGATGTGGGTCAGTTTATGGGCCTGATTATGGGAATCTGTCTCTCATGAAGACAAAGAGGAGAGTCTCAGCAGTTGCCCACTTTACAACAGCCTCTAGAGACAAAGACAGTTATATGGGAGAGAGCTGGACCCTGGGTACTTGCAGACAGATGCGAACAGGGGTGTACGGGCACGTGCTTAGGGATTTAACACTCCACATAAAAGCAAGGTGAGAAGCTTCCATCTGTTTTGTTGCCAATAAGCAGAAAAAAAAAAAAAAGGTCTTTCTTCCATTGTTTCAGTTCTGTAAATTTGTAATGTGAGAATACATAGTAAGCCCCTACAGGCCTGATCAAACTTATACCTCAATTAGATAATTTTTAAAAATGAATTTTGAGAAAGAAATCCATCCCTGACCTGGGAATGTCAGCCATGTTGTGGGCTCTGCAAGTAACTTCAAGATCATTACTTCTGCATCTGCCAGTGCTTTGCCAAAAAGCTGCCTCCCTGGGTCCTACCTACTTTGTTTTCCACTCAGCTGTCTCCAACCTGTGCCATGCTCATGTATTTTAATGCTGCATCGCTCCCCTGGGAATGTTACTATTAAGTTATCAGCCAGTCCTAATGATGGAAAATCCTGTACTAAAAGCAGGCTTGGCTTTTGGCTTCATGGCCCAGTAGAAACCTGAACAACTCTCAACCTGGGAACCTATGAGGGCATAAGCAACTTATTGATTATGTCCAGGGGAGAATAGGATAGAAGCATTACCTTAAAATGCTATATTGGCATTGTAAGTAATCAGCTCTCCTACCCTGTGGTGTAAAGCTAGCCCTAGGGGTGGAAATGATCATCAAACCAGTCATTTAGTGACTTGCCAGGTGATACTCAGCTACCCTTCCACCATCTGTCTCTAGGAAACTTGTGCTTATTAGAAAATGCAATTCTGTTGCTTTTGGTTTCTATCCTAAAGTAGAACTTAGCAACATTTTAACCTTTCCAAAATTAAGTGTGAATAGATACATTTTGATTAGAAACTCTAAATCACAGTGCACTAAAAAAAAAAAAAAATCTGGTTTGACAGAGCAGTTGAGTATCTTTTCTCTCAAAGTTGTCATTCCTCCTCCCAGCCCCTTTCTTCCCTTCGTGGACACTCAAACACAGCGGGGGGGGGGGCAGCGGGGGGGGGATCACTTCCTTTCTCTCCCTGGCCAGTGTCCTCCCGTCAGTCATGCCAAAGCCACAATGTGCAGATTCTGCTGGACTAAACCTTTCCTCTCTGCCTCTTTCTCTGACTTTGCCTGCATCATCTCAGCTCTGGCCTCCCTGATACAGTAATTTTGCTTAGATTAGTAAAATGATATCCCGGCGTTCTCACCGCCAACCCACCCGACACCACTGCTCATCTTCCTGAAACATGTCTTGAATCATGTCATTTGGTCAAAAAATTTCAAGGGAGTCCCATTACTTCCTAAATCAATCCTGTATGCCTAGATTTTTAACTTACCTGTTCTGCTGTATATTTTGTTATTTCAACTACAGGTATATATTTGCTACTCCCCCCGCCCCCCAGCCTACCTCTGTGCAATTGCTTGTGCTGTTCACCCCACTACCTCGTTTGAGTGCTGGTTTCATTATTTACTAGCTTTGTGCTTCTGTTTCCTCATTTATAATATGAGGATCATAACAGCACCTACTTCCTAGGGTTTTGTGATGATTGCACGAGGAAATCCATACAAAGCCCTTAGAAGATCGCCAGCACAAAGTCAGTCGTCGGTGAACGTTCACAATCATTATCATTATTATCATCATCCCTTTCAAGGAACATTTCAAATCCGCCTCTTTAGTGAAGTCTTTTTAAATTGCCCAACTCAATGTTATTTTTTCCCCTTTTTGTACTTCTCTGAATAGCATTCAACATATAATGCCCTGTCTTAGAATAGTGCGGGCACTTATCTTGGCCTCGACTGGACTGTACACTTGCTGAGGTTGAGGAAATTTTATTCATCATTGTGTACTCTAAAGGACCTTGTACAGCACCTGGCACATCGAAAGGACTTAATAAATACTGGCTCAATTGAAAGAAACTGATTTTACTATTTTAAAAACTCTGTTCCTCAAGCCGAGAAAGAAATAATACATACAGATAAGTAAATGAAATGAGCGTCTCGATAACAAGGCTTTTACTGGTGAAAGACACTGAGATTGATGTCATTAGGATGCATGACTGGCCCTGATAACACCCTTTTCGTCCATGTCCTCCCTTGCAGGTCTGCTTAGTGGCCTATCTTGGTTTGTTTATGCTTTGTGTCTCATATCAAGTTGACGAACGGACATGTATCCAGTTTGCTATGAAAGTAAGTTGTCATTTTTCTTTCTCTTTTATCATCACATAGAAAAAAACCCCCACAAGTACAAAATAAAAGAATGCTTTTTAAGGGGTTGCATATCAGATTATTCTAGAAATTGCATTTTTACGTGGGCCAAAAAAATGTTTTAGGACGGCATTCATCCAGACCCCAAAGGTAATGCTGATTTTTTTTTAAAGTCTTAATTTCCATGCACTAGGTTGGCACAGAGCATATGAAATCTGTCCTTCAGTGTCCTTACAAGGAATATTGAAAATTCATCAGTTCAACAAAACACTTGGCCAGGGAAAAGGTGTCTCTATTAGTGCCCACTTCCATATCTTGGGGGTTTTTAGAATATTTTAATAGGGAGGCGGTCTAAGTGTATTTCCTCCTGTAGGTGGGATCACTGAGACAGAAAAAGTACATTGGGTGCATCCAGATGATCTGTGCCAAGAGTCTGAGGGTAAAGGGGGGAGAGGAGGGATATGCATGGTTTAACAAGTGTGTGTGTCTTTCCCGTGCATGTATTTTTTTTTCCTCTGTTAAAGATGGTGCATTTCGTTGGAACCATTTCAAGTATACACAGCATTTTCACTGCACAGTAGAATCTGCTCCAGAGGGAAACAGACACACCCTTTTAGAGTTTAGGGAGATAAACACCCAACTCAGCAATCAGAGCTAGTAGAAATCAAATTCCTACATTTTCTTTCAACTACTTGTAGCAGAGAACAAAATGCTTTCTGTAATGTTAGTTTGTTGAGGGTTTTCTTTTTTTTTTTTTTTGGTCCATTCACACTGTTTACTTTTCTTTTGTAACAAAACACATAACAACTGGATACTTCTTTGTTCAAACAAGAAAGCATAGTGCATAAGAGTAAGTCAGCTCTTATTTAGAAATTAGGAAGATGCAGAAGAGATATTTTGTATTGTAATATAATTGAAGCAGTTGACATAAAAAAGCAAAATGCTTATATGTATGATATTTAAATCATGTTGTAAAAGTAATTAATGGAATAAAAATGTTCACATTATTATCAAAAGCTGGCTACACAAAATATATGGTGTGATCCTACGGAAATAAAAAAAATAGCTCTCTGCATAGAAAAAAATAGTTATCTGTGAGTGGTGGGAAGACAACTGCAGTTTGTAGTCTTTTTCTCTAATTTTGAAATGTTCTCCAATATAACTTTTCTAATTAAAAAAAAGGGGATTCTATTTTAAAAAATTGATATAATTTCATGGGTATGCCTACATTTGGAAATTTTACTTTTTCTGAGGGTGTTCCTTAAAAGAAGGCCAGATAGAGCAGACATCAGTCCATGTTTACTTTTTTTGTAGAGGTCTGACTAAACACAGCAAGGCTTAGTGATGATTTAAAAAAAAAAAAAAGCCAGAAAGCCTAGTAAGAAATGCCCTGTTGAATTACAGGAACCTCTTTCACTAGGGTAAAAAAGCGCTCTCCGCTAGGTTCATCAGCTTATGTGAAATGCCCCCATTTCCCCTCCAGATGACCCAGCAGAAGCACCGGCATCAGCTTCACAGAGACCCCCAAAGCCATCTCAACACCTGCACTTAAAATAAGGAGCAAGGACAAAAATAAAATAAAATAAAAAAAGTCAGTGCCAATGTCAGCCAGGTTGAGAATTCCCCACTAGGAAGATCTCATTAGCTACCTTTCCCCCCCCACCTGTGACAGACACTGACAAATACAGAGGCACTTTTCTCCTCTCCTGAATGTGACCTTTAGTGGTGCTGTCAGCTCTCTAGGGCGCCTGCTATATTATCTTCAGGTCTAAAATGAGCTTCAGTCAGTCTCCAGGGTTTCCAAAGGCACAACAAGTTACAGCCGACTTTACTTGTGCCTCCACACCATTTGGGGGGGCGGGGGAAGGGAAGGCACGAAATGCATCTTCATGAGATGTTTCTCACTAGCATAACCGCATTTGAGCGCCTGCGTATTGATACCCAGGCCTAAGCTTTGTTGGAGATTTTTTTTCCTCTGCTCCTGTTGTAGACCCAGACGGTCAGGGCAGGCACCCCGGGGGGTCACCGTGGCTCTCTGCATCCTGAGCACGCACGCGCGCGTGCGCGCGCCCCGCTCCCTTCTTCTTAGAGACAATAGCCATGGGACTTGGCTTTCCACCTCAGGCGACTTCAGTCCTCCCTGGCCGCGCTCGGGCGGGCCCTGCGACGCCACCGGCGCGTTCCTTCTTTCCCCCCTGGCCCTGCCCGCGCGGCCTGGGCGGGCCCCTTGGGCCCGGGATTGGGCCTCCTGCCTTTCCTCGTCGCCCTGTCTTCTCGGGGCTCACCTGGCTGATTTTCAGAAACGTGTCGGGTTCATGTGCTTGGCAGCACTCCCAGGCGCGTTCCCCGCGAGGGCATTTAAGGCGCGGTCGCCTCGCGCACACGGGCGCGAGGCCCCCGGGCTGCCGGTGCTGCTGCAGGGGCCTCCCCGCGCCTGCCACCGGGGAAGGTAATTAAATCGAAGCCAAACCGCCCTCCTCCCCAAGCCGCCGAGCGTTGAGGCTGCAGCCGGGTACCAATTAGAGGCCGCGAGCGAGCGGAGCCCGCCCGGGCGCCGCTGTTACATAAGCGCGGGGGGCCTCGGCGCCCCCCCTGCCCGCCCGCGGCCGAGCGCCCGGCGCGCGGGCTGACGCGGGCAAGACAGATGCGTCCCGGGCCCCGCTTCCATCAAGATATATTTGCTCGCATTCCCAAGGTCATCGTAAACACTTTCATTGACGGTTTATTCGTGCCGTGTAGGTAAAACAAGCCACTCGATTTTAAATTACAGATTCTCACCCAGAAGCTTGTTGCTGTCAGATGAATTAAAAGCCGTGAAGGAAAAATGCTACAGCGCTGCAGAGGTAGCCCACAGGCTTGGTGGGGAGCGGGGATCGAATATGTATTTATGTCATAAAATGGATAAGAAATTTGATTCTGTGGCTCACGCCCGTTTACTGGCCTAATGTTTTCACTGGGTGGGAGATGCGGAATCACAGTGTGTGAGATACGCCCCGATGAAAATGCATTCATATTCAAAGGGGCTGAGGGGCATGGCTTTTGTTTGTGCGTTCGCTGGCATCTAGCATCTTTAAGATGCTCAATTAAGATTGAGCAAGCCCAGTGTTTGTGTAAATGTTTACATGCTTTCTACAAGCCAAGTATGCACTGTTACTCCCACGTGACAGAATAAGACAAAGCCAGTAGAGTTGATATCCTAAGAGTCTTGAGAATTGGCAGCTCTTTCCATCTCTAGTAATTTGCTTACTGATTTCACAAATGCTTAAGTGGCGCTACTATGTACTAGACACAGCTCTAAGCCCTTTACCGATATCAACTCTTTTGATGCTTATAATAATCCTGTGACCGTAGGCGCTATTATGATCATCATTCCAAGCTTAAAGGCGAAGAAATACAGGTACACACGGGATTGATTAGTTTGCCCTAGGTCCGTAGCTAAGAAGGGAAGAATCAGGGTTCCAATGCTGACAGCCAGGCTCTCCAGTTTATGCTCCTAACCATCAACCTGCGGGACACTTCTTAAATGTCTCGGGCAAATCTGTTCATATGTAAGCCAAAAGGTGATCTTTTAAAAATAGGCAAAATTCTCATTTCAGCAAATGGATTTCTGTGATTATGAGAGAATAATATTTTTGCAACCATTCGAGTTATTTGCAGACTGAGAATGAGGGATTATTTTCATTGCTTCAAAATAGTGTCCCAATGAATGTTAAAGAAATCTGCTAAGGATGTATGTGTGTGTTGGAGGTAGGAGTGTTATTGCAAGACCTCCTCAGTTCCATCATTGATGGCAATAAAATGTGCAGACAAAACTCCAATTGGGGGCATTCTACTAAGCAGATGACTCTCGGGTGGGAAATTATCCCTTTAATTTGGGCCTTCCCTGCTGGTAAAGGCACCAATGTACCCACATCCCCAAAGCAAATAGTTCCCAGTTCCATGCTGCCTGCACTGGAAACACGGCTCCGGTGGGCACACTTTAACCTGGCTCTTAGTATCAGGAATTTGAAGTCGATCATCAGGCCCAAAGATTTCAGAACCACCCAGAATATTTCAAATGCTCTGCCCCAATGGTCCCACAAAAATAAACTCATACTCTTTAGCCTGAGCAGTATAGTGTTTGCAGAAAATATGGCCACTGAAAATTTAGGGAGGGGATATATTTAATATAACACATTGAATCTTTCCTTTTTAAATTTTTAACAGTGCCCATTTGGATTTATCTGCTTCCCTTCCTCCAAGGGAGACCAAACTTGTTAAATAGAAGTTCTCCTTATTGTGTCCCTGAGATAGAAGATGTTGCAATAAACTTTCGCAGATGAAACACGTTGGTTCCAACTGACAGTTCTTCAAGGGATTTGAAGAGGAAGAATAGTGTGTGTATGATGTGTTTGATGGGAAGATCCAGAGAAGCTAGGCACTCCTTGGTTGTGTAGACATGCTAAGACAAGATGGTTTAGCCAGTGAGTTCCACCTTCCTCCTGTGCTGCCAGTCAAGCTTTCAGGCAAACTAGACACATGATTAGGGCACCAGCACACATGCACACACACAAGAAAGAAAAAAAAAAACACATTTTTAAGTATTCTATATTTAAGACTTGAAAGCACTTGAAATTGTCACCGTGTGGAGAATCACTCATTTGGAGGACTTTTGTACTCATGTTTTATAATCTTAGATATGTGTTTTTATTTTAAATGACAGATCATTGGAAGTGGAGGGAGTGCATAATCTTTTCAGAGCTACTGTAATCTGAACTGGACATGAGTAGGACTACTTTTACTTTGAGGAGTTCACATTCACCAGAACTGCTCTACAAGAAACTTTTGACGGTGGTATGCAAATCTCACACAAAGAACTGGGTTCAGTACACTAGTTCCAACAGCTAGGGACTCTGTTCCTTATCTAGACCCTCAGCAGGTGGGACCATGAAGAGAAATGTTTCCAGTAGGTCAGTGCCATCCCAGGAACATTTCTTGTTCTATAAAATGCTTTATGTTGTGACTGTGTCAACAAGCACTCACAATTTTTGATCAACACATTTCAGGTGTAAGCTAAATGTCCTGTTCAGGGATTCCATGGTTTCTTTAGCAGCAGAGTTTAGATCTTGAACCTGACTTTTCCATCACAAGGCTATCCCATAAGCCAACAGTGTTCAGAATCTCTCGGCAGCTGAAGGGCCATTTAGGGTTTATTTTTATGCTCAGGAACTACATGGTTATAGGTAGACTTGGGTTGGGACCTGTAGGTGATGAAGCTGACATCCAGTTGTCTACCTTCTGGAACCATCATTTTTTTTTTCCCAGCAACCTCTGACTGCGGATCCTGGCATTCCTGGACACAGGTTGACAATCACTATATTGAACACTGTCATTTTTATTAACCCAGTTGATCAATCACTGCCAATTCTGGCCAACACAGTGTTTACATTGCAGAAACGCGTTCTTTACTTCCCAGTCATTTTGCAGTCTTGAGATGAGCAGTGTCTGAGGTCAAAAACAGTCACAGCCTGCCTTTCAGGGATGGCTCTCATGCTTGGGAGTCACCTAAACTGGTATCCACATCCACAAACATCCCACAATCAAGCTAACATTGTTGGCTCAGTGTATGAAAAGCACCCGACATCTGTATGGCAAATAAACATAGGATCAGGGCATAAGGACTGCTCACTATCAAATCAACATGGAATCATTCCTCTGTCTTGGTGACTCCGTTTCTGAGGCGAGAAGAGCCCTTCCCCCGGGACCTTCCTGATGAGAGAAGAGAAAGCAAGCTTCGATGAATTAGCTTTGTCACAAGTCATCCAATGTTCTTTGTAACTGGCAAGGTTCTCTTCTGCTTTCCCGCAGCTCTTGTATTTCCTGCTGAGTGCCGGGGGCTTGACGGTCTGCGTGCTGGCCGTGGCCTTTGCCGCCCACCACTATTCGCAGCTCACCCAGTTTTCCTGCGGGTGGGCTCTCGACGCCTGCCACTGCAAGCTGCCCTCCGTGGAGCCCCTCAGCCGGACCTTTGTGTACAGGGATGTGACCGACTGTACCAGCATCACAGGCACGTTCAAACTGTTCTTACTCATCCAGATGATTCTTAACTCGCTCTGCGGACTCTTGTGCTTGCTGGCCTGCTTCGTGATGTGGAAACACAGGTACCAGGTTTTTTACGTCGGTGTCAGAATGTGCTCCCTCACGGCTTCCGAAGGCCGGCAGCAAAAGGTCTAGCATTCTTGCTTGCAGGTGGGAGAAGAATCAGCCCAGTGACTAGCTGAGGTCAAAAAAGAGAAAAAGGAGGAAGAGAGAGAGGAAGAGAGAGAGAGAGAAAAAAAAAACTTTTGACAGTAATAACTAATAGTCACCATTCTAAAGGAATATTTTTGTATTTTTCAGGAAATAAAAGCATCTCATCACGTTTCTATAGTATTTTTTAAAACTCTTACAGGGAAAATAAGATCCAAATTGACTTTGGGACGTTAAAGGAACACGGAACAGGGAAAGAATGGCATGTGTCTATCCTTGCCGCCTGGAATTCACTCCTCGTATAGATTTCCCCCGCTTTCTGAAAGTAGAGCATTCCCACCCATGCAAACTTTCGTAAACTGAAATGGTGTAAAGCGAAGAAGCTGTTTCGTAGAAACGAAAATTCTTCCGATTTCTTCTGGTTAGCGAAAACTGGGACTCACGTGGATATTTTGTAAAGCAGAGTGGCTGGCACAAAGCAAACTTTCGGATACTGGGGGAAACCTGTCCTCATTTTATTCATCATTTGTACAATCTTCTTTCCTGTGAGTTCAGTTTATAGGGTGAATTGGCATTTCAGGGCCACTTGCTAAATTGTGCCGTCTTTTCCAGAACTTTCCACCCACACCCCCCCTTATCTCCCCTAAGTCTTGGAGAAAGGCAGGGGGTGGGGGAAGAGCTGAACAGCCAGGTTGAGTCTCTCTATTTTCCCGGGTAGAGATGTCTCCAAGGCAGGAAACAGCTTGAAGGAGCGGAGTAGAAAAGGAAGAGACTTCACAAAGGCTGAGTAATTATAAACACCCGGGCTGGGGCCGAGGCCCTTTTCCCCTCAGCACCCTTAGTTTGGCTCTGCAAGTGGATCCCTTACTAAATGCTTTGGATGATTGTCTGCTTCTCAATAATTGAAAGTTGGTGGTAGTTGTATTCTTAATGATGTAGAAGGCTCAAAAATAATTACATTATGCTTCTATTCTATCATCTAAAACAAATCATTAAAACTAATTTCTACCTAATTGTTAATTATAATTATGCTCCGAAGCCTACTTAATGAGCCCTGGCTGTTCTTACATAGCACCATCAGAGAAATTACTCTCACAAGAGAGGAGGCTTAAAGATTCTTTCTTCTGAAAGCCAAGCTTTACAAGGGAGAAGAGAAAGGTTTTTATTAATAGCTCAGGTTAAAAATACTCATTTAAACAAAAACAAGATCATTTGTAATGGGCAATGTTTGTACAAATAGCACATTTGTGATATGTTGTGAAGTATCTGTCCTGGCAGCTAAGTTCTTTTGAGGAAGATTGGGAATGCCGATGTGTTCCATTCATAAAAGTGTATCTGGTATGTTATTCTATTATTGACTTCTATGCACAGTCCACCCAGAGACTTGAACTCCTGTTTTGAAGTCCTGATTTGAGCATCTGCCCGCTGACTTGGAAAGTAGTTTTTATTTTGTTTTGTTTTTAAGTTACCGCGACTTTGAAAAAAAACACAAGTACCCTATGATGGGAGTCTTCTCTCTCTTGTTATCAAATTCTGAACAATATTCATGTCTTAAGGATGGAGCTCAGAATGCAAATTCGTGCAGCATAAATGTTATCAAGATCTTTCTCTACTAGCATGCTCTATTGAAATCAGAGATTCAAGATAATAATGGAGATGAATTTGCCTCTCCACATTGCCTATTGATAGACTCCGCTAGTCATGAAATTCAAACCTAAAAGGAAAGCATTTTCTTGTTTGCCTTAGAAGATAGTCGAACAATCCCATTGATTGCGACAGTAGTGTCCGTTTCTACACAATATAAATATCCAAGTAAAAAGAAAAACATTAAGTTGGTAAGTTGGAGGATTGTAAGTAGCTTTTATGTTCTCCAGATAAAACACCTGATTAACAGATGTGAAAATCTTTTTTATGTATTGACTCACTTTAAAAACAGCCTTCCTGCACATGAGCTTAGGCCAAGAATTCACATTGGAGGGCTTAGTGGATAAGACTCTGGGGGCAGAGGTTTGATCACACACAAAAACTATAGTGAGAGAACACCAAGCATCCTGATGACGACCTGAAAAATACTCTGTGCGCTGTTAAAAAAATAATACCAGTAACTGAGTCCATTCTGATTTGGACAGTTTCCTACGTAAAGAAGAAAATGGCTGCGAATCTGAAATATTGTAGCTGTTCTGTAAAGAGTGAGAAACTCGTGATTGAATGCTAATTGCTATGAATCAGGCACCACTGGAAGCACACCCTGACTTCCTTCAACAACTTTTTATAGCGAACACTACAGTTTTTATATTAGAAAAATTAAAATTCTACACATCACCAAGGTTCTCGATGCTTTACAAATGATTCACAAGGTATTTCAAAGGGTAGAATAACTTTAGCTTATGTGATTTCTTTTTCTAAATGGTGCCACCAGGCAGGACTGACATAACTTTGATAATAATCAGGAGATATATATATATATATACACAAACATACATACATATATGTAAATTGGGGATTTTGCTATTGTGTAATTAAATCATTCTTAAATCTCCGAAGGAAAAGAAATAATCATAAGAGAAAGAAGGGACAAACAAATAAAACAGGAAGGAAACCAAGAAAGGAGTCCCGTGCTGTGAACTCACTGAGTATTGATACATGTAAGAAATGTGTTGCATGAATAACAAACTGCTTTGCGCTGGATTTAAAGTATTTTGAGGTTGTGTTTTGCAAATATTGAAGTTACAATAACGGCAACAGGAAAGGAACAGATACACAGCTTTACACTTAGCAAAATGTTACATTTAAAAACTGACAAGGAGCCAAGATGGTGACTGTCTCTTCTAAACCATAAAACAGTAAGATTTGCGCAACCCTCCTCCTCTTCCACCTCCTTCAGGAGAATGAAATGAATCAAGACTTTGGAAAGAGGGGAGACTGCCGAGACTTGGCAGTACTTGAAATAGGAGGAATACAGCAGCCTAAATGTACAGACTGTGTAACCGAGCCCACTCGATCGGTCTGTGCCTTCACGTGACCACCATCTGTGCCTCCCTCGCTCTGTCCAAATTTGTGGAGGCAGCTCCTTGGAGCCAAGCCTAAAAATATAGCTACGCCAGGCCCTAGAAACTGTAGTCAAGTAACAGGCCTGACTTTTTCTCCCCTCTTTGAATTAAATGTCTATGTGATCTCTTTGGAGGGGTTCTGACAGGGAGGACCCATTATATGTGTGTGTTCTATTCACAGCCAGGACATGAGAATCTCTAAATACTCTTGTTCTTCCCCTCCTTGCATGCATTGTATCTGGAATATGTTTATAGATTTTTAGTAAAGGGGGGGTAGAGGGTATCCAAGGAAGGTTCTGAAGGACAACGGTGGGGCGGTTATTTAATCAGGAACAAACTTCGAAGTTGCCCTGAAAAACCAATCCTATCCTGTCACGAAGCCCACCTTTCCATTTTCTAGTGACTGCTTCTGAGCTATTGCTAGGTCGCCATTAACTTCTGTGAGTTGTGCTGGCTGTCAGTTTTTACTGTACTCTAAGACCTCCGTCATGTTTCTGGATGTACACTGGGTCTTCAGGACAGTGTTAAAAAGAGCTGCTGCCAAATAGATTGACTCCCAGTGGAAACATTTGTTTGGTTGAAGGCTCAGTGTTTCAGCCTGTGAAATGGATGCCTTGATTCTTTTCCTCTGATTTTCTAGTACTTTATTATCTCCTTCAAAAATATTGGTCTGCATTTTGGTGTTGGGATTGCATTTTTCTGGTGTTGATGAAACAGTGACTAGAAAACAAAGTGCTTTCTACATGTTTGAGGTGGTTGTTTTTCAACAGGATGCACATATGCAGATTTTCTTTGTTAATAAAATTTTCATAATCTCTGAAAACACCTTGTTTGGATGTGTTTTGAAGTACATTACACATGAACTTGTATACATAAAATCTCTCAGATGAGTGTTTGCTTCAAAGATGAGAACTAATGTTCATTTTGACTCCTTTGTTCCAGTGACTGTCTCTATTTTGGTACAGGGCACCCACTGTGGAAGTCAAGGTTATAAATGCTCCCTGGGCCGGAGAGAGCCGGAGCTGAAAAAAATCTTGCAGAAAGTACTCAGAATGCTGATTCTTAATTTATATCTATTAAAGTCAAGTAAAGCTTGGCCTAGAGAAAGGAATACATGTTTGAGTTCCACATGTTCAATCATATCCTACATTTAATTATACAGAAAAATAGACGGCCTAATTCCATTTCAAATCTGAATGCAAGGACTGCTTCTTATGAACTCTGAGGCAATTTAAATAGTTGATGATACCGTACAATGCAGTGGTCCTTTCTGTTTATTTGAGTTAGAAAAGCTTGTAGAATGGAAGGAAAATGGAATCATGACTTAGGATACACTCTCTGAGGTGGATTTCCTATCCTTAGTGTTAGGGCTGCAGGTCCTAGGGGTGGAAATCTGACAGCCACTTTCTGGCTGTGTGGCTTCTGACAAACCATTTCATGTTTAGCTTCCTCATTTACAGAGTGGAGAAAAACATAACTGCCTCACAGTACCCTGGGGAAAGTTAAATGAAATAGCACTTAGCAAAGTGACTGGTTCAGAGAGAGCTTAAGAAACATTTGGTTTCTTCCATCCTTAGCTGGGTTCTGTGTAGCCTGGCCCACATCTCCTGTCCCCACATCCAGCTAGAAACATAGCTCTGCTTTGCTATCCCCTTCTGTGGCTCCCTTTTTATAAACCAGGAACATTATCAAAGGGGCTGCCAACAGAAATTCTGCTTTTAAAGTAAGATAGTGCCAACTCTCACTGATGATGGACAGCGCACGGAATGATGTGCTGGCTGGATCCCTATTTGTTGGTTTACACAGCTGGGTGTTTCCCAAATGGGGCCATCTTTTCTCTAATCTTCTCTCAGGGAGAAGTAGAAGCTGAGGCATTTCTCCTGATTTTCGTGTCACTTCGAATTTAGTTTGATAGAAGCGTGCTTAACCCCAACATTTTAAAATGAAACTTTATTGAGCTTTTGTACATTATCAGTCCCCTGTATTTTAGGTTGTGATGTACAACCCCTCATTTATTTAAAAA